TCTGTCTCACACCTTTGCCAAGGTCTATTTTCATAGTTTCCAGATCATCATCTATTTTTACGTGAAAAGTAGCATCATCGTATATATTCTTAAGGAGGGCAGCATATCTTGAATCTACTCTGGCGTCGTCCTATGCTGTTAAGAAAGCCAATTTCTCGATACTGTCGAATGCTTTGTGATAATCGACAAATGCCAGATGTAGTGGTATATTGTACTCTATTGTTTTTTCAATAATGGTCCGAATTGTTTGCAAGTGATCGATAGTGCTAAAACCTTTACGAAAGCCTGCTTGCTCCACTGGTTGGTATGCATCTAGTTTAGCTGTCAATCTATTTGTTATTATTCAGGTTAGTAGTCTGTAAATGTGTGACAATAAGCTTATTGGTCGGTAGTTTTCTATATTTGCGGCGTCCCCTTTTTTATGAAGTAGAATGACTTCCGCATTTTTCTATGTCTTCGGTATTTGTCCTTCCAATAGGCATTTATTAAGTAATGCTCGTATTGCCTCTTCTAATGCAGTGCCTCCCATTTTTAGCATCCCTGAAGTAATTTTATCTTCTCCTGGTGTTTTCCCATTTTTAATTTGTTTTAGGGCGTCTCTAATTTCTGATGTTATTATTTCAGGGAAGCCCTCTGAGCCCACATTTAAGATATGTTTTGTTGGTATACCGGGGTTCGGAATAGTAGAAGTATACAGCTTCTCATAAAATTTTCGGATTTCTCTAACGATCTCTTCCTTATGCGAGCACAATGTTCCACGGTCGTCTTTTATCTTTACGATTTTATTCCTGCCAGCGGATTTACATGTTTTTAGTACTTTCATGTTCTTATTGTTTTCTACGGTTTCAAGAATCTGGTTTGTTCTATAAACTCTGAGGTCTTTTCGAATATTTTTCTTAACGCTTTTATTGAGCGCTTTATAGTCCAGGTTATCTCTGTTCGTTCTTCTTCTTTTCTCTATCTGTTCTAGAGTTTCGGGTTTTAGTTTAGCTTCCTTTTGTTTTCTTATTCTGCAACAAAGTTTCTTAGTGACTGTATGTCTTTATTTTCTCAACTAGCTGAGAAAAATATTTACTGATAAGTTGCAACTTATTAGTCGCTTCTTCTTTAGTGTCTCCCATCGCTAGTATGGCTGTATCATCCGCGAAGGTGGCAATAGGGATTTGTTCTAGTTCTGAAATGTCACACGTATACAAGAGGTACAAGACCGGATCTGAGACACTCCCTTGTGGCACGCTAGCTTTGATCTCCCTTAAGTATGATTTTAAGATTTCTGAATACTGTTTAGGCATGAACGTTCTTAGTTTATAGTTTAAACCCTCATGCCAGACTTTATCAAACGCCTGTGCTACGTCCAAGAAGAATGTCGAGCAGACTTTCTTTTCTTCTAATGTTTTTTCTATTATATTCGTAATTCTGTAAACTTGATCTATAGTGGAATGTTGACTTCTGAAACCAAATTGATGATTTGGTATCAGAATTTTCTTTCTATTATTGGTTTTAATCTTTTTTCAATAGTTTTTCAAAAGTTTTTCAAATAGTTTTGGTGATCATAACTTCGGCTACTTTCCGGAGTCTGGGAACATATCTCAATCTAAAAGCAGCATTTATTAGGTGTGTTAGCTTAACTATGGCTTTTCTTGGTTTTTAATAGTTCTCCTGTTATAAGATCATATCCTGGAGCTTTCCTAGGATCTATATTCTCTTTTATTTCTGTTGACACTTCTCTAAATGACGTCAACGTTATTCGTCTAGATTAGAGTGTGTGATAACAATAACAAAAGTAACTATTAGGTACCTAATTCAGGAAAAATAATAAAATTAAATTAAAGAAAAACATTAAAAGATTTTTGTTATAATGATATTTAGGAGATAGACTTAATGTTGTTTAGGGGTTATTCAGTTGTATTCAGGGGTTGTACAGTGGCCAGGTTCAGGCAAACAAATTACAAATAATGGAACCATGTATTATTCAGGTAACAACGAGGTCAATCATCGCTATGGTGTTGCTATCTTAGTTGCAAAAAAGGTGAATTACTCTGTGATAAGTTTTACTCCTTATTCTGATAGGATCTTATCAATACAACTACAGTCTAAAAAAGGTATAGTAAATTTTATTCAAGTTTATGCTCCTACGGCAGATAAAGATGACGACGATATCGAACTGTTTTACCATGATTTGGAACAAGTCTTAAAATCAATGAAGAAACGTCACACTACAATAGTAATAGGCGACTTCAATGCCAAAGTTGGCCAAGGAAGAGTGGATGTATATGTGGGGGAATATGGTCTAGGAAATAGAAATGAACGTGGTGACCGTTTGATACAATTTTGCCAGACGGAAGAATTTGTAATAGCTAATACACTTTTTAAGCTACCAAAAAGAAGATTGTATACATGGAAATCTCCCGGTGATACAACGAATAGAATAATCCGAAATCAAATTGACTTTGTCCTTATTAGACAAAGATTTCGTAATTCTATACTGTCTGCCAAAACTTACCCTGAAGCAGACATCGGTTCAGACCATAATCCCATAGTAGTCATATTACGAACCAAACAAAGGAACAAACTGTAAAAACTCTTACTGAAAATCTACGTAATGCCCAAGAACTGAACAAAAGTAGCTATAACATTGATCAGAATTGGGAAAATATAAAAGTAGCAATAATTAAAACAGCAAATGAAAACTTAAAACCAAAGAATAGAAAACATAAAGATTGGATGACTGAAGAAATACTACTATTAATGAATGAAAGAAAATCATTCAAAACAAAAAATCCAATTAAATATAATGAAACTGATCGATTAATAAAAAAGAGAATAAAAGAAGCTAAGGAGAGAATGTTACATGAGCAGTGCCAAGAACTAGAAGAAATTGAGAAAAATATGACTTTTTTAACATGCATAAAAGAATTAGAGAATTAACAGGAATGAGAAAAACACTTCAAACTAGGCAACTAAGAGATGGAAGGGATGCACTTATAACAGATATAAACCAAAAAATGCAGAGATGGACACAATATATAGCACAACTTTTTGAAGACAAAGAGAGAACAGAAGCACCAAAAGAATTTAAGGATGATACTGGGCCTGCCATTATACGAGAAGACATTGAATATGCAATGAAACAAGCTAAAGGTGGTATATCTCCCGGGCCTGATAAAGTTCCTATGGAATTACTTAAAATTGTGAATACTGAATCTATTGATCTTCTTTTGGATCTATTCAATACCATACATAGAACAGGTATAATACCTAAAGAATGGCTCCAATCAACATTCATACTGCTTCCCAAAAAAGCCAATGCAAAGGAGTGCAATGAAAATCGCACCATAGCCTTAATCAGTCATGTCTTGAAATTGTTTTTAAAAGTAATTCACAATAGAATACATAAGACATTAGATGAAGGCATAATTAATACACAAATGGGATTTAGGAAAGGACTGGGAACACGAGATGCACTGTTTGCAGTAAGTGTTCTTTCGCAGAGATGCTTAGATATTATTCAGGAAGTATATGCCTGTTTCATTGATTTTGAGAAGGAATTTGACAGAGTTCAGCATAATCGACTTAAAGAAATTTTATTAAATAAAAACATAGACAGTAGAAACATTAGAATCATCTGTAACCTCTATTGGAATCAAACAGCAAAAGTGAAAGTTGAAAACGAACTGACCAAGGATATCCAGATTCGCCGTGGGGTCCGCCAAGGGTGTATGGTATCACCCTTGTTATTCAATTTATACAGTGAAGCCATCTCAGAATTAGCTCTTGCCGAGATCAGTGAGGGCCTTATAATAAACAGTGAGCCACTTAATAACATAAGATATGCTGACGACACCGTCCTTCTGACAGGAACACTAGAAGAACTGCAACACCTTGCTGAACAACTAAATATATATTGCAACGATTATGGACTAATAATCAATTTGAAGAAAACCAAGTTCATGGTATTTACAAAAGCACAAAACATCAAAGTTAAGCTAGTACTAGATAATACAGAAATTGAACAAATATCTTCGTGCAAATACCTTGGAGCATGGATCACAGAAGATACTGATCAGACAAAATAAATAAGATGCCGCATTGAAATTGCGTGGTCAACTTTTAATAGAATGAGAAAACTTTTTTGTAATCGCGATATCAATATATCGCTCCGGATAAGAATGCTTTGATGTTATATTTTCTCTACAATTTTGTATGGAGTTGAAGCTTAGACACTTAAAAAATCCAACATTAAAAACCTAGAAGCATTCTAAATGTGGTGTTACCGACGTATTTTGAAAATATCATGGATGGATCGCAAAATAAACGAACAAGTTCTCGAACAACTAGGAAAACAATGCGAAGTTTTAAATTCCATAAAAATCAGGAAATTGGAATACTTGGGGCACATCATGAGAGGTGAAAAGTACGAACTACTAAGGAATATAATGCAGGGTAAAATCAAAGGTAGAAGAAGCGTAGAAAGACGTAAAATTTCGTGGCTACGCAATCTCCGTGAATGGTTTAGATGCAGTTCAATTGAACTATTCAGGCGAGTAACCAATAAAATTATAATTGCCAGAATGATTTCCAATCTCCGATAGGAGTGGAACTTGAAGAAGAAGAAGAAGGGGTTATTCAGACTATCGTTACGCTCTAGGTTCGATTTCGGTTCAATATAATCTCGTCGTATTTACAGCTATAGTCTTAAATCGCAATTTTTTTCAATTCTATTTGGACCTTAATAGTATACTGAATTAAAAACTTGTTACATGACTAGTCTAACAGATCGTAACCAAAATTATAAAAATATATTGGTAAGTTAGTAGGCAGGCATAACCCACATAACATTCCAGCTACTACTTGTAGATTATCAGATTATAATAAAGCCCATTTTCTTTGCCCCATGAAAATTAAAGATGTTGAGGTTAAATTCGTTTTTAAAATTTATGTGATTATAACTCAACCTAAAACTGTACGTGACTATAAGAAACCTAAATATTTTATTACAGAGACACTAAGGATGTATCCACCAGTTCCATTCGTTACAAGAGTGTGCGTCGAAGACTACGTAATACCAGACCACGATATTAAAATTAACAAAGGAGTACGGGTATTTATACCAATAAAGAGTATCCAGTATGATGAAGAATATTATCCATCCCCCAAAGTTTTCGACCCAGAAAGATTTTCAGACGAGAACAAGCATGATAGAAATCAGTATGCACATATTCCTTTCGGCGAAGGACCAAGAATATGTATAGGTTTGTATCTTGATAATTATTATATGTTTATTTATTTGATATTTGTACAGTTCTAAAACGCCCGCCTTCATATATATATTTAATGCGTTATTCTTTCTTATTTAGGTAACCGTTTACCTTATGTCGATTTTCATAGAATTATAAGCATAGGTTTAAAATCTAAGTTTAGCACGGTAGCGTATGTTTAATTTTAATCCATACTTTTATTTTATCCTAAATTCCTAAAATACGCATAAATATTGTATTTATATGGGATTAAACCGCAATTGAGTGTAATGAAAATTACATTTTTCATTTTTTTGACGTTACGATTTACAATCCAAAAATATTTTTCAAAGATTTTTATAAATAAGAAGGTATTATTATTGTTATTAATATTATACATAAGCGACGGTAGAGGAACAAGTCCCTTTTCTATCCCAAAACAAATAACTTTCATTAATAACCTTAGTAAATAATAAAATTACAAAAAAATAACAAAATTATCACATTAATGTATAAAAGAAGAATAATATTTTAACTATAATATAAAACGGTCAAGTATGTTTTTGAACGAGTTGATAGAGGGAGTGGACAGGAATAAAGAAAGCTCAGCAACTAATTAGAATAGCTCGAGACAGAGACAGTTTCGCCATGTTAATCGCCAACGTCAAGGGGACTTGATATGATAGAGGGAGCAGAGACAATGTTATCATTAAGGATATTCCAGCACTCAAAGACTCTATTTGGTAGAAAGTTCTGTCTTGATCTTGTAGAAAAGTTTTCTTTCTTTAGCTGAATTGAATTTTAATATTTTAAATGCTGTAGTTAAGTCTCCACGTTAATGGCGAAGTTCAAAAGAAGTTAGGTTAGCCATACCAAGTCTCTCTGCTTAAGAAAGTCTTCTCGCTTCCCAAAGGAATTCACGTAACTTTTCTTTCAAACGTTGTTCAACAAAGTCTTGTCTCAAACCAAATCAGGATACCACATTGGTCCAGCGTATTCAAGTATGAGTCAATAGAGGTAATATGGTAGGACCTAGTTAGGCTGCTGTTTACTATAACACCCAGGTCGTTAGTAAAGTACAGCATAAGTGGGTTATTTTTACCAATTCGAAGCACTACACATTTTTCCGCATTTAAGGGTAGTAACCACTGGGAACACCTAGTTAAAATCCAAGTCCAAGTCCATTTGGAGGGTTAGCTGGTTTGTGATTGGATTGGCATATATTTTTGTGTCATCAACTTAGAACGATATTTTACTTGAGAAATAATAAGAAACATCGCTAGTATAAACCGTAAAAAGCAGAGGTCCAAGTACAGAACCCTGAGGCACTCCACTTTCCACTAACCTGTCCTTTGAGAAAGATTCGCCAACTCTAACTTTGTAATGTCGATCTGTCAAGAAATCATCTATTCAACGAAGTTAAGTACCGCGAACTCCGAAATGTTCTAGCGTATGTAAAAGGCTGTGCGTATGTACACGGTCAAAGGCTTTAGAGAAATCTAGATAAACAACGTCGACCAGCTGCGAACTGTTAAGGGATGACGTCCAGTCGTTAACACAATGTAAGAGATTGGTTAGAGTAGAGCGACCAGAGACAAATCCATGTTCTTGTGTTGGAATAACATGTTCCTGGAGAAGGAATTTGGTCATTGCCTCGGAAATAATGGCCCTCATAACTTTGGCAACTACTGGCATCAAGCTAATCGGACGATAATTGTTGGAGTCGAGTTTGTTGCCTTTTTTTATAAATAGGGGTGACGGATGCTAATTTCCAACTAGGGGGTAAGAAGTTCTGGATGAAAGAAGTTTCATAATTAATGTTAAGGGTATTGCAAGAGTGTCTGCCCAATTTTTTAACAGTTTTGGTGTTAATCGATCTAAACCAGGTGAAGCGGCTGTGCAAAGTTTAATTAAGTGTTGTTTGCTATGATCCACTGTGAATTCAACTTGCTGTAAGGATGCACCGACACGATTACAGTTAATAGCAGGTAAATAGTCATCATTCGATTCTTTAGCAAAACCTGTGAAAATGCTAAAGAGAGAGTTTCGGAAGATTCTTTGTCAGAAGAACATAAACTTGTTAACATGTGATAAGCTAATTTGGCAGTTGACTTATTTGGCCTCGATCATATAAGCAATTCGCCATGTTTTTGATATACAAGATTTAGACCAAGTAAGTCAACTGTCAAACTGACTGTTGAAAAGCACCATTTGGTAAACATAATAGGTTAACAATTTCTAATTTATAATATTTTTTTAAAACGATTTTAGGATTAGAAATCGAAACCTCAAAGCAAATGCAAAATGTAATTTTCACTATAATCAATAGTGATTTAATCACATATAAATACAATATTTTATTTAAAGATGCCACAAAAAAATTATTTCAAAACCTCTAAAATAAACATATATCATATTTTATTTAGGTCTGCTTTTCTTCTAGTTGACTTTTATGATATTAAAATATTATTATTCCATCTCTCTGTCTGCTTCTTCTTCCGAAAAGTTTTTTTGACTTGTCCCGACCTATTTTCAGTATTCTGCTTTCTGTCATTATATTAATGTGTCTGTTCCATTCTTTTTTTCTGTCTTGTACCTACATTTATGTTGTCTATCCTGGCTATGTTTCTGATCTTATTACTCAAATTTCATGCCTTGTCTAACTTCTGTACGCTTCTCTAAAGATCTCGATATACTGCTATTTTTTCCATGAACGTGTTTTTATGAGGTATTTGGCATCCTCATCTACTTCGTCCTTCCATCTCTTTTTGGGTCTTCCAACACGTCTTTTTTTATTTTATTCTTGCGTTTAATCAGTTATTGGTGATTCTATTCTAAGACATCCTAATGTAGCCTAGTGTTTTGTCCTAGTTTTGATTCTCTATATTGTTTTTTTCTCTTTATTGTTCTTTGTTTATTTCTGTTGATTTATTAATATGTTCATTCTTGTGATATTAAAAATTTTCAATATTTTTTAGGTATGAGGTTTGGTATAATGCAAACAAAAGTAGGATTAACGAATATTTTGAAAAACTACAAAGTTGGCGTAAATAAAAAGACTAAACAACCTTTGAAGCTGGAGATTCCTAGTTTCGTACCTCAAGTTGAAGGTGGAATTTGGTTAGACCTGAAGAAAATATAAACAAAGAAACCATGAGAGTGCATTGTGTGTAAGAAATTAGTGTTAGCCATCGTATATTTATTTTTAAGTTTATATTAATAGATTCGTATATAAGTAGAGTAAGCTAAATATTTAGTACGTATAATTCTTACAAATTTTAATTTTTTAGAAAGTGTAATGTCTTGTAAGTAGTATTAAAATAAATACCATTTTAACTAACGTCATAATGATACCGACAAACAAAAAAATATTTATTAAAACTTTTTAAACAAATTCGTATAAATATTTTGTATTTTTGGTGCTAAAAATAACAGGTACTACTTTTTCCATGTATTACCCGAGTACTCTTACGCTTAAAAATAAACTATGTTAAATTAAACAATATTTTTATTTAATTGGGCTACGATATTTATTTATTATCAATGTTCTTATAATGCCATATCCGGTATCCAATGCACGGACCACACTAACAGTGTGGTCCGTGCCGGTCTCAGCTTGCGTAGAGGAGGGACTTTGAATTGAGTAGGAGCCTCTCAATACTTTGCGTAAGACAGACTGGGCGGGGGATGTCCTCAACCCCGACACGGCGCGTCCTAATGGCTGATAGGGAATGTTCCTGCAGATATGCAGTGATGCCATTACTGAATCAAGGCTGTTAGAACGACATCTAGCAGGTTTGACGACAGACACCCACAGGCGGCAATCCCCTAATGATTTAACTGGCTGTGATACTGCGGTGCAGAAAGCAATGTGAAACTACTGCACTAAATCTCCTAAGAAAAGCTCCATGACAAATACAAATCATACTACGGCCCCGAGTCTCTGGCGTCCCTTTATTGGGACAGGGGTGCTAAGAATCTCCAGAGGGAAAAATAAAAATAAAAATAGATCATTAATAAAACATATTGCTACGTGGAATGTTAGAACTTTATATCAATCAGGCAAGCTAAAAAATGTACAACTCGAAATAAAACGTCTGGGACTGCAAGTCGTTGGAATTAACGAAGTTAGATGGACCGGATCGGGAACTGTAAAAATTGGAGGTTATATTACTTATTACTCCGGAAAAACGGATGATGTTCATGAAAATGGTGTTGCTATAATTTTTGAGGAACGACAAGTAACAGTACAGACAACGAAATTAATGAATTTTACCATGTATTAAAGCAAGCACTAAATAACACAAAAAAAACACGAAATTTGTGTAATAATGGGAGACTTCAACGCTAAAGTAGGAGAAGACCTAACTCCCGGAATTACTGGAGGAAAGAAACTTGGGGAAAGAAACGACAGAGGTGATAGATTGGTGGAGTTCTGCCAAGAGGAAAACTTTGTTATCACCAACACATGTTTTAAACAATCAAAAAACAAGACGTCTCTATACATGGATATCATCGAGAGATGGCCATGGTAGTGTAATACGTAACCAAATAAATTATATTATAATTAACAATAGATTTCGAAACTCATGTACATGTACTAAGACATATCCAAGTGCCGACGCAGCCACCGATCACAATTTACTGGCATCTAGAATCAACCTAAAATTAAAGACAATCAAAAAGCCTTCCATTACAAAGAAATACGATAGACAAAAACTAAAAGAAGAAGAATTTAAACATCACTTTGAACAGACAATGAACGAAAAAATTCAGTCAAAACAGTCGAAGAAAGATGGGATAACATAAAAAATGGTATCATCGATACAGCAACGCAAAGTGGAACTGTTATCCATTATAAAAAGCAAGCGTGGATGAAAGATGAAATAATCTAAATGATGGACGAAAGAAGACAGCTTAAAAATAGAAATAACTCAGAGTAAAAACGAAAGCATAATCTGAATCGAAGAAAAATCAGGGAAGCCAAAGAGTTATGGATGCGAGCAAAATGTGAGGAACTAGAAGAATTGCAACGAAAACATGACGAATTTAACACACATAAGAAAATAAAAGAAGTTACAGTACACAAAAGAAATACACCTATAATATTAACGAATAATGAAGGTCATGCACTATCCCTAGAAGATGAAGTAATGGTGGAATGGGAAAACTAATTAAAGCATTATAAGTGGAAAAAGCCCTACACCAAGCCAAAAACAACAAAGTCAGTGGACCAGATCAAATATACAGCGAATGGCTAAAATTACTCTCAAATGACAATATAAAAGAACTCACTCTACTTTTCAATCAAATATATGATACCAGTGAAATTCCATCGGACTGGTTAAAATCGATTTTTATTCCTTTACCTAAGAAACCAAACGTTAAGAAATGTAGCGATTGTAGACTCATTAGTTTAATGAGCCATGCCGTTAAAATACTGTTGCATATTCTTCTAAACCGAATTAACAACAAGTGCGAAGAAATAATTAGTCAAGAGCAGTTCGGGTTCCGGAGATGCCTTGGAACTAGAGAAGCACTATTTTCTATGCAAACACTCCTTCAACGATGTTGGGAGGTAAGAAAACCCGTATATATGTGCTTCATTGATTTTGAAAAGGCATTTGATCGCGTTTAGAATACCAGACTAATTACCGTCTTGCAGAGTATCCAACTAGATGAGAAAGACATCAAACTTATGGCCAAACTTTACTGGAACCAATCAGCCATTATTAATACCAACAACAGAGAATCAAAGCCAATCAGTATTGAACGAGGCGTAAGACAAGGCTGTATACTATCTCCCACCCTCTTTAACGTGTATTCTGAGAATCTATTTAGTAAAGCTTTAAAATATCAAAAAGGAATTATCATAGGAGGAGAAATAATTAACAATATACGGTACGCCGACGATACTGTGATTTTAGCTGAAAACATCGACGATCTGCAAAAGCTAATCAATAGAGTTGACATGGAATGCACAACTTGGGGACTGTCGATAAATATCAATAAAACTAAATACATGGTGACCAGTAAAGTGGATATCGGCGCAACCCAACTGATAATAAACCAACAACCGGTGCAGAGAGTTCAGAGATTCAAATACCTTGGATGTTGGATTACCCAAAATCTAGATCCATCCTTCGAAATTCGATGTCGAATTGAACAGACAAGAAACTCATTTCAAAAATTCAATCCGCTATATCCAATAACTCATTAAATTTGGAAATCCGTGAAAAGTTCACAAGATGTTACGTGTGGTCTGTACTTTTGTATGGATGTAAAACTTGGACTTTAAACGACGATATCATGAATACAATCGAGGCGTTTCAGATGTGGTTTTATCAAAGGATACTAAAAATTCCATGGACTAGCAGAACCAGAAACGAAGAAGTTCTTCGAAGAATGGGACATCAACGAACTCTATCAAATATTATTAAGAGGCGAAAACTAGAATATCTTGGACATATAATCAGATTACCAAGATATGAGTTCCTTCGGCTAATTCTCAACGGTAAAATCGAAGGAAAGAAATGGATAGGACGAAAGAAACTCTCTTGGTTGGGGAATTTGCGGCAGTGGACAGGTTTGACAGCAGACCAATTGCTATACGTAGCGCAAGACCGAGATCAGTATATTATAAGAATGGTAGTCGCCGACGTTCCGTAGGGATATGACACTCTAAGAAGAAGAACTGTGTGGTACTTGCGAGTCAGACAACGGACATGGCTAATGCGGCTAACACAGCCCTGCGTCGCATTAGTAGGTGGACCAGAGAGAACGATTTACAGCTAGGGTCACAGAAAACGGAGGAGTTCTCAAAGGAACTCGTGAAAAATCCTCTCTTTGCTTTATAGCGGAAGGTGAGGTGGTTGCACCGGTTAAATCAGTTAAGTATCTGGGAGTATGGTTGTCGGAAGGACTAAGGTTCGAAGTACACATCCAAAAACGGTAGAGAAGGCGAACCGAAATCTGAAGGCGTTGATACGGTTGATGCAAAACATTGGAGGCCCAGGCAGCAGCAAAAGAAAGGTCCTAAATGGAGTTTTCCAGTCGGTGGTAACCTACACTGCCTCCATGTGGTGTAGCGTACTAAACACTGCGAAATACGCTAAGCTGATGAAGACTTCGCAAAGTCGCATGCTCCTCAGTGTATCTAGCGCATATAGGACAGTTTCAAATGAGGCTCTATATATCATTGGAGCGGTGATACCGATCGTTTTGTTGTGCAAAGAGCGAGCGAGGATGTATGCGAGGAGGATGGATGTAAATATGGATAAAAATGAGAGAGAAAGAACGATAGTAGAGTGACATAGAGAATGGGCAAATGATAGCGGAAAGACAAGGATGACGAAGAAGCTTATTCCCGATCTGAGACCGTGTTATAAGTTAAGGAAACTAGACTACTTTCTGACTTAGTTTCTGAGCGGACATGGTAGTTTTGGTACCTTCACAAATAGAATAGGAAAATCTGCCTCGACAGATTTTACTGTTTGTGGGGTACCAGATGCTCTCGCCAGAGAGATTTTTAACTGCCAGAGATAGGCAAATGGGAGAAGAGATTTTAAGAGACGAATGGGTTTCGGGCTAGATGAAAGAAACATTGTAAACATAATGTTGAGAGGAGAGAAAGAATGAAGAGAAGTACACTTTCTGATTTCTGTGTAGATGAAGAAAAATAAGCAGGAGGACAGAGAAGCAAATTGAGACCGGAATCTGAAATTTATGGTTAATATTATTTATTAGTTTATGGTCTAACGTCTGAAACTTTTTGAATTTACGGTAATAGGTAAGGTTATTTATATATTTTGAGTTTTTTATGTTAGCTGTTTATTGAGTGGCAAGACCACCTCTCTGGAACGGTCGTTAAGGTTTTAGTCGTAATATGGTTAATTCGGCACTACCCTAGCACTACCTTCGGCCTAGTATCCTACTCGGCCAAAAGATGTCAGGGTGTCTTGTTCCGTGATGTAGATGTCCAAAAAAGATATCACTCAGTGTTGCCTGTCAGAATTCAATGGATACCTTCTTAGGCTCTTACTGAAATCTGACAATATGGCAATTAAAAAAAAAGTTTTATCGATATTTCCCTATATCTAGTACTGTAATACAACAAACGATGGGAAATATTTGAAGTACACAAAATGAACGACACCGCGTTGCTGAGAGTCTGAGATGTGCGGATAATTATTCCACCACACTTCCTACCACACTCTTACTAGCATAATAACAAAAAAATTGAACAGAAAAGGAAATTAGAAGTGGGAGAGGAAGTTGTTAATGCCCTATCTACTCTAAGAACCGGTAGAATATAACTTATACAAAAATTATTACTCACCTGAAGGGCTTCTTCGAATAAAACTACATGTGTATCGTTCTGTGGTAAGAAATGGAATAAAAACGGCTCCGCCGGGAACGGTGCCTTTTATGCAT